ACATGTGTTTATGACTGTGATGTTGGGTTTTAATGCACATAAAATATTTTAGGACACTATTTGTTTCAGAATCTTTTTTTTTCTTCATTTCCCTTCTCTAAAAACTGGTGCGTCTTATGGTCCGGAGCGTCTTATGGTCCGAAAAATACGGTATATATCTGACTATTACTGAGGGTTTCTCTATTGATGGGAGACTCACCAATATTTGAAAAAATTAATTTGTTATTGGCATGTTTGAGCTCCTTAAATTAGAATTTTAAAGCTTTTCATGAGTGGTTTGGGCCAACCCCAGAAGGAAACAGCATATTTTCTATACACACAATTGCCCTGCTGTGTAACTCCTCAGTTTGTAAGAAGGATGCACTTTAAAAGAAGGAAGTTATATAATTTTAAAGCCCCTATTAATTTGTAAAAACAACTGGCTCTGCTATGAACCCTGGCAAAAATTTTTGCAGTGAAATTATCATTAAAGTGACATATGATTCCAACAAATTCAACATAGTTTTATTGTGTTACAAGGTATTGTATTAATTTGCCACATTTTTGTCATTTGGCGAAGGAATTACCTTCTTTAGATTTGTATTTCCAAGTCTTTATGACTTAGAATGCTATATTATAGTCTGATAATTTTAACTGAAAACTATTACCTACATTTGGCTGCAGTCTAAACTTAAACAGAGGAACAATTCTTCTCATCTTTTAGTATCTCCCCCTCTCCCCCCACATATTTTAGCATTTTACATTTGTGTAACAAAATTCCATGTAACTTACAAAAAATCCTGGGGCGGGGTGGCCTGGAGTGGGCCATGTGTCAAAAATCACACTTGTATAATTGCTAAATCAGGATTTGTCAGCTTATTGGAATGTAATTATATTTTGAAGTAATTGTGACCACAAAACATTTTTTCTAAAAGGAAACTTGTGCCAGGCTGGTGTGGCCCTATGGTTGAGCGTTGACCTATGAATCAGGAGGTCAAGGTTTGATTCCCAGTGGGGGTACATGCCCGTGTTGCAGGTTCGATCCCCAATGGGGAGTGTGTAGGAGGCAGCCGATCAGCGATTCTCTCTCAGCATTGATATTTCTATCTCTTTCTCTCCCTCTTCCTTCCTCTCTCTGAAATAAAAGAGTATTTAAAAGAAAACTTGTGAATTATTTGACTTATAAATCAACTTCAGCATAAATTCCATGTACTTAAGGCTTCTAATAATATGGAAAAACAGTTGACTTACGTTAAATACATTAAATACAGTGCAGTGGCTTTCATTCCTGGGAAACCCTTTTTTCCAATTAATGGAGGCCAGGTGCCATCTGAAAAACAACGCACAAAGTTTCTATTTCAGGGCATGTAATTAAAACACTACATAGTTTTGCTAATACTGGCAGTTGTATACAGAGTATTTTGCCCTTATTTCATAACTAGAGGCCTGGTGCATGGGTACTTCTCAATTGACCTATAGTCCATATCTTTTTAAAATATGTTTTAATTAATTTTTTAGAGAGAGTGGGAGGGAAAAGGAGAGAAAAACAGATGTGAAAGAGAAACATCAATTGGCTGCCTCCTGCACGCCCCCTACTGGAGATAAAGCCCTGACTGGAAATTGAATCTGTGACTCTGGTGCATGGGATGACGCTCAACCAACTGAGCCACACAGGCCGGGCGGCCTGTAGTCCCTATTAAAAACCTTTTTTAAAAGAGGAACTATGGGCCAAGTGTGCTGCAAGTAGTTGGGGGCAGAAGCCAAATGCTGCTGCTTAAGACAATCCCTGGAAAAGTGGAAGGAAGTCATTTTCCCTCTTTCTCCATCTCCTGATGTCCCTTTTAGTGCTTCCTGATGTCAGAAGAAACACAGCTGGCAAGATAAATAGGCCTGCATAGATGGGAGAGATTGTGAAATTCATTTGATCATGTCTTTGACCTTGAACTCAGCGCTAAGTACCTTGCCAATGTAGATGGGTTTCTGGTATCCCCTGGCATAAAGAGACATCTCAAGTAATCCAATTACCACTCATGGTTTCTTGAGGTGAAGTGCCTATTGAATCCAATGCCAGGGGAAAACAAGTGGCTAAGGAAAACTTTAGGAGTGGTGGGTGGGGCTGGCTATTTCTGATGGCACTGCAGAGTTACAGGAAGAAAAGGATTATATTGGGGCTTAAAAGTCTCAGCGCAGGTCATGGGCAAAGAACCAGAGAGGTTTTGTGTGTCTGTATCAGCTACACAACTTACACTAGAATTTAGTGGCTTGTCTCTTCGTTTCTGAGGATCTGGAATTCAGGAGTGGCTTATCTGGATAGTTCTGGCTCAGGGTCTCTCGTATTGGCTTGGGCTGCTGTCAGCTGAAAGGTACTACACTACTTCACATGGCCATAAAGTTGGTGCGTATATGAAGTCTACTTTTCCTTTCAGGTCTAGCAGATTTTACTTCATGTATTTCAAAACCATGTTTTTAGATGCATATATATTTCAGATAGTTATGACTTTTTGGTTAGTGGACTCTTTTTTTCATTATGTAATTCCATCTTTATTCCTAATAATTTCCTCAGCTCTGAAGTTTACTTTGTTTGATATTAATCTAAATGTAGTCAGTCCAGTTTAAAAAAAAAAGTGTTTGTGTGTTTTATCATTTTCCATCCTTTTACTTTAAAAAGAAAATGTTTTTATTGATTTTTTAGAGAGAGGAAGGGAGAGGGATAGAAACATTGATGAGAGAGAAACATCACTGCTCTGCTGTCTCCTGCATGCCCCCTACTGGGGATGGAGTCTGAAATCCGGGCATGTGCCCTGACCAGGAATGGAACCGTGACTAGAACTGTAACCTCCTGGTTTACTGAGTCACACTGGCCGGGCCATCCTTTTACTTTTTAAAAAATATATGTATTCTATTGATTTTTTACAGAGAGGAAGGGAGAGAGATAGCTAGAAACTTGGTAATACAGTTTTAAAATGTTAGCTACGGTATTCTAATAGGTGTGAGTTGAATGAATAATGGCTTTCATTTGCATGTCCCTAATGACTAGTGGTGTGAAGCATCTTTTCACGTGCTTATTCGGCATCTGTTTATCTTTCTAGGTGCAGTGGTTGATAAAACCTTTTTCCTATTTTTGTTTTTTAATAATCCCCAAGGGTATAAATGTTGATTTTGAGAGAGAAACATCAATGTGAGAAACATAAATTGGTTGCTGCTCATACATGCCCTGAACCAAGGATCAAAACCGAAACCTGTGTATGTGCCATGACTGGAATCGAATCTACGATCTTTTTGGTGTACAGGACAATGCTCCAACCAACCGAGCCAGCCAGCCAGGGCCATCTTTTGCCTATCTTTTAAAAACTGGGTTGTTTTGCTTTGTTGTTTTTGACAGTTATTATGTTCTGGCAGTTATTTATATCCTTTGTTGGGTAGATAATTTGTAAATTCTTTCTTCCAATCTGTATCTGATTTTGGTATCAAAGTAATTCTAACTTCAAAATGAGTTAACAAGTGTTCCCTTCCCTTCTATTTTATGGAAGAGGTAAGAACTGGTAGAATCGGTGTTTTTCCTTCTTTGAATTTGCAAATGACACTATCTGAAGTTTTCTTTTTCTGAGGATTTTAAACTATAGATTCAATGAATTCAGTAAATAGTCACATTTTCTATTTTTTCCTTGGTGAGTTTTGCTTGTGTCTTTTAAGCAATCAGTCTATTTCATCAAAATTTAAAATTTTTGTGCATCAAAGGACACTGTCAAAGAAGTGAGAAGATAATCCACAGAATGGGAAGAAATATTTGCAAATTATATATATGATAAGGGATTTGTATCCAGAATATTTAAAGAACTTTATAACTCAATAATAAGATAAATAACCCAACTAAAAAGGGGTAAAGAACTTGAATAGACATTTCTTCAAAAAAGATACACAAATAGCCAATAAGCACATGAAAAGATGCCCAATACCATTAGTAATTAGGGAAATGCAAATCAAAACTGCAATGAGATACCACTTCATCCACCAGCTGTCTATAATAAAAATAACAGACAATAATAAGTGTTAGTAAGACTTGAAGAAATTGAAACCCTCATACATTGCTGGTAGGAATGTACAATGATATAGCCAATGTGGAAAACAATTTTGAAGTCCCTCAAAATGTTAAGCATAGTTACTATTCTCAGGTATATAATCAAGTGAAAACATACATTCACTAAAAACTTGTACACCATTCACAGTAGCATTATTCATAGGAGCCTAAAAGAGAAAACAGATCACATGCCTATGAATAACAGTGGCATATCCTTTCAGTGGAATATTATTCTAGACCAGTGTTTCCCAAAGTGTGGTGCGCGTACCCCCAGGGGTACGGGAAGAGTTTGGTGGGGGTACGCGTTGCACCGGAGTTTGGTGGGGATATGCACCACACCGTGCTTATCTGCGCCTAATTCTACGTTCTCATGAGGACGAGGGGTACTCAGCGTTACGAAAATTATAGAAGGGGTACACATGTCAAAAGTTTGGGAAACACTGTAAAGCAATGAAATGCTGATAATATGCTATGGCATGGTGAACCTTAAAAATATGTTCAGTAGCCTGCCCAGTGTGGCTCAGTGGTTGAGCATTGACCCAGGAACCAAGAGATCACCCGTTTGATTATCAGTCAAGGCACATACATGCCTGGTTCAGGCTCAATCTCCAGTAGGGGGCGTGCAGGAAGCAGCCGATCAATGTTTCTACTTCTCTCTCCCTTCCTCTAAAAATCAATAAAAACATTTTTTAAAATTGTGATGTTTATGCAACTCTGAACACATTAGAAACTATAGAATTTTACATATTAAGGAGGTGACTTGTATGTGATTTATATCTTATGTTACAAAATCAATTATGACATCATAATCAATTGCAGCAATGAAGACTATAGCAACTCTGTGTATTTTCTTCTTTGCTTGTTTTGTGTCTATCAACCAATTTTTCCTTCCCTCTGCTGTTTTATGTAAAAGTATTGACGAGCCTTACTATTTGTCTTTCAGTTATGGAATATTCAAGTGGAATTTTGACTGGAATGAACAGTGATGCATATGACGACTACAGAACTTTGTTGTCCCTCTCTTTTAGAAGAGAATGATGCATCTGTGTACGAAGGATACTTGCAGCGTTAGGTGGAAGCATGAACTTGTTAGAGGTAGATGGAAATTGAATATGGTAGAAGGGTGTGTATCAGTGATGAGTAGCCAAACGGGGTGGGCCGTGCTGGTTATTGTGTCTCAGCCCCAAACCCATTCCATTTTGTGTTCTGTGATCCTGGACTCCTGAAAACTACATTTCTCAGACTTCCTTGCCGGCTGGCTTCCTGTTTTAGGGGCCAGCTGAGAGAGACCCAGAAAGTGAAAGGGAAGGAACGAACTTCTGCTCTCAATACTAGCCATCAGTAGCAGGCATTTAGCTCTACCACTGACCATTTTGGCACCTACCTTCTTATCAGTTCCAGCACCAACTTCTTAGAATCCAACCCTTCCCCAGTGCACATCAAAATCTGGGCACTGGTCTCATGGGGCCCCTCCCTGAAGATTTCTGGCCAGCTTCCAAGATGACCCCCAGTGATCCCTTCTGGTCTTGGTATTAGTGACTCTGTGTGGGCCCCTCCCACGTTGAATCAGGGTTGGCCAGTGTGACCAATGGAATATGGTGACAATGAAGCTGTGTGAGTTCTGAGATAGATCATAAAAGGCAGTGAAACTTCCACCTTGTTCTCTTGGGATGTTCACCCAGAGGATGCCATGAGGACACTCAGGGAGCCCCATGGACAAGAGCCCAAGGCCTCAGCAGCCAGAGCCAACTTTCCACCATGTGAGTAGACCCCCCAGTTCCAGCCACTTCCTCAAAGACTGAAGCCCCAGGCAGTACCCGATGGCAGCCTCAGGACAGACCCCAACCACAACCACCCAACCACCCTCAGGAGAAATCCCGAACCAGAACACCCACCCACACTGCTCCCAAAGCCTTTACTGAAATCTTTGTTGTTAAAAGTATTACAGATGCCCCACCACCACACCCCCTAATTGCTGCTGCCAAATTCCTAACAGAAATTGTGAGCCATGAGTGATTAGTTATTTTAAGCCACCATGTTTAAGGGGTGATTTTGTTGTACATCAGATAACTAGTCACTTCCTCTTTCCTTAAAAATGGCACTGTTTCAACAGGTGTGTGAACAGTTCCCTAGATTAAAGGTCCTATATTTGAAATAACTAGTGTGGTTTCTGTTTTCCTGATTGAGCCCTTTAAATTTTAGGAAGAAAACATGAAACGAGAGCAATACATTCCCCGGTATCTGCTCTTCCCCTTCCCAAACCCAGTCTTGGGAGTCTTCACTTGTCCGGCTGGCCACCACCTCGGCCCTCTGCATCCTCCACCCTCTCCACTCCGCTTCCATTCCTGTCTCCCCACCAGACTTCTAACCACAAAGCTCCAATCTCATCCCGTTTCCTCTGGGCCCCCAGACAAACATTGCGACGCAGGATCTGGGGGGTTGGGGGAGCACGGAATTGAGTTTATTGTTCTGAGTCTGGGTTTTGTTCCTTGGACATGATTTTTCCTGGATGGAGGTGACCGTCCCACCTCCCTGAGTCGCAGTCCCGTGGGCCTGTTTAGATTATTTTCCAGGTTCAAAGTGCACTGAGAAGGCTTCACAGTTTTAATACTTCCTAGATGCTCAACTGAGGCAAAGTGATAAAATGGCCCTCCCCCCACCAGCCCATAAAATAAAACCCCAAGCCCCCAGCAGCTGCTGCTGCAGCCGTATGAAAAAATAATACAAACTCTTCTTAAAAAATAGATTACACAGAAAGAACCCAGAGGACAGGGGGGCGTGGGGAGAGGCGGGGGCTGCTCCAGCTCCTGGTGAGGAGCCTCGGGGAGAGGTCCGGGAGGGGCGCCGAGATGAACTTGAGGGGCTGGGATGCTGGTGGACACCTGCCTGGTCCGCTCTGCCCAACCTTCCTCTGCTGCTCCTCCCAGCAGCTCTGCCAGGGACCCTCCCTTTGCCCTGAGGCCTAGTACCTGCTTCTCACTAAAGTGGCTTTAATAAACAAAAAGACCCAAAGCAAGAAGGGCTGCTGCCCCACCGACGGGATGCCCCCTACAGGAGCAGACGACTCTTTGCTTTGGGGGTTTGGACAGTTATCAGTACCTGCTACTACCTAGACACCCCTGGGAGGGGGTGGTGGTGATAGGCCCCAGGCCCTTATGGCTCCTTGGCACACCGCTCCTTGGCACACCTCCTCCTAAGTACTCAGCTGTGACAGGGCATGGTCTGAAGTTGGCCTCCAGCAAGGCCCTGGAGGAGCTGCAGACGGATGGAGTGTGTGCAGGACAGCCAGGGCGGTGGGGTGTGGGATGGGGCACAATTCACATGGACCCTCAAGCTCATGCAAGGAGAAGCAAGAGGGGGCAACCCCACCGAGACAGAGGTAAGGCAGGGTGAGGTGGTGGTGTGTGTGCAGCCAGGCCAGCTCTGCGGCTAGGGGGCAGAGACAGCGCCGGGCCACAGCCCACAGGGTAGGAGGCAAGTCAGGACCTGGTGATGGGGAGGAGTCTGGGTGCCCACTCCTGCTGAGCCTCCACACCTGGCTGCCTCCTGCAGAGGAATCTGGTGCAGGGTGGGTTTTTGGAGTGGGGACAGGGGCTGCTGGGTGGGCTGGGCTCAGTCAGGGACCTCGGGGTGGGCAGGCAGTCCACTTTCGCCACGCCGGTAGGTCTCCCAGAAGCCCCTGTCCAGTTGCTCCAGCTGTGAGCCTAGTGGTAGGTGGCCGGCCAAGTGCATGCGGAGGGTCTCCAACCATTGCTCCAGCTTCACGAAGGAGGGCCTGGGATGACAGGTCAGGGGAGAGGGATGGTGGGTTCTGGCTCTGCTGAGGACCAGCCCACCCCAAGGCTGCCCGGGCCGCGCCCGACCCCACTCACCTCTTCTCAGGGTCCAGATCACAGCAGCGCACGGTAATGGGGAAGAAGCTCGGGGGGCAGCTTGGGGGGCAGTAGCGGTCCAGGAAGCCTCGCACATTGAGGCCAAAGTCCATGGTACGGGGCAGGTAGTCGGGGTCAGCATTCACCCGCCCGATGATCTGTCCAGCACAGGGCCAGCAGTTACCCAGGGGCCCTTGGGGCTGGGTACCACCCAGGAGGCATTTGAGGGGAGTTTACACTGGGCCTGGATGCAAATTGCTGTGGGCAGCCCAGGTCCCAGGAGCCTCCCTAGCCTGCAGCCCATGAGGGTAGGGAGCGGAGAGGAGTCACCGGTCCTAATGCCAACGGCTGCCCACCCCTGCACCTACCTCGCAGAGGACGATCCCAAAGGAAAACACATCCACCTTCTCATCATAGCTTCGGCCTAGACAAAGAAACTGGCTATTAGCAAATGAGGCAGGACCAGGATCAACTGGCAGGGATGCTGGGCCAGGGACTGGCAAACCACATGGATGCCCCGGCCAGCAGGTCAGGACCAGAGGGAAGATGCTCTGCCCCTGACCCCACCAGGGCTGAGAAAACTTTTGGGGGGTGAGGACAAGAGCCCTGGGTAAGGGGTACCAGGCCCAGCTTGGTCACTGACAAGGCATGGACTTCACTGTGGTCATGGAAGAAATCATGTCAAACCCCTGGAACCTGTGACTGTTAACTTTGTTGAAAACAGGGTCTTTGCAGATATGATTAAGGTTCTTGAGATGAGAAAATCCAAGATTATCCAAGATAAGCCCTAAATGCCATCACATGTGTCCTTATAAGAGAGACAGAAGAGAAGACACCCAGAAGAGGAGGCGGTGGCCATGGGAAGATGGGAGCAGAGGTTGGAATGATGTGGCCTAAAGCCTGGGAATGCCAAGACAGCTGCCTGAAGCAGCAAGGAATGAACCCTCCCCTACGGTCTCTGCAGGGAGCACAGCTCCCCTGATTCCAGACTTCCAGCTTCTGGAACCTTATATAAGAGAATAAACTTCTTTCGTTTTAAGTCACCCAGTTTGTGGTAATTTGTGACAGCACCTTCAGAACCCTTGAAGCCTCAGTTTCTTCATCTGTACAATGGGAGGAATACCATCTACCTCATGATGCTAAAAACAATCAATAGACACTCATTTACTGAATGCTGCCTAGTTTATAGCCTTATCTAATCCTCACACCACCCCTTAAAGATAGGGACTGTTAGCCTACTTTACGGGTGAAGTTATTTTGTTGGGGGAGAGACGGACTATGTGAACTTCGGTCAGAGCTGGCACTGCAACGACCCTTAGTCCGCCTGTCCTGACCCTGTGTGTGCATGCCACCTGCCTGTGGAGGGGCTTTGTAACCCATAGTCTAGGCACACCCAGGGCCACAGTGTGACAGGCCTGACTGAAAAAGAAAGGGAGCCGAAGCCAGTTTGGCTCAGTGGTAGAGCGTCGGCCTGCGGACTGAAGGGTCCCAGGTTTGATTCCGGTCAAGGGCATGTACGTTGGTTGCGGGTACATCCCGGTAGGGGGTGTGCAGGAGGCAGCTGGTCGATGTTTCATGGACATTTCTAGCTCTCTATCTCTCTCCCTTTCCTCTCTGTAAAAAATCAATAAAATATATTAAAAAAAAGAAAAAGAAAGAAAGGGAGTGGGAGAGGGCCTATCCTAGGCGGAATAACGGCCCCCAAAGATGTCCATGTCCTGAGCCCTGAAACTTGTGAATTCACTGCCTTATACGGGTGATTAAATTAAGGATCTTGCGGTGGGGGTGGGGGTGGGGGTGGGGCAGAGAGATGGGAGGGGAGAGGTCTTGGATTACGGGGATGAACTCTATGTAGTCGCAAAGGTCCCTCTGAGAGCGAGGGGAGTCAGTCAGGGAAAGAAATGTGATTCTGGACACAGATGTCAGAAGATGCCAGGCTACTGGCCCGGATGGAAGAAGGGGCCACCACCTGAGCAATGAGGGCCTCTAGGAGCTGGGAAGAGGAAGGAGAGATTCTCTCCTAGAGCCTTCAAGGAACCAGTCCTACTGACACTAACTTAAGCCCATGAGACTTAAGTTATTGAACTCCTGACTTCCAGAACTACACAAAAACGTGTGTTTTTAAGCCAAGTGTGTGGTAATTTGTTACACCAGCCGTGGGAAAAGGCCCCAAAGAGGAAGCGGAGGGGCTGAGGGGGCCAGGGCTTGGGTGGCTGCGCTCACCATTGACAGGTGGGCCTGCCCACTCACCATTGATCATCTCGGGCGCCATCCAGTAGGGGTTGCCTACCACTGTGTAACGCTTCCTCCGGTCTGGCTTCTTGAGGCTTCGCAGGTCTT